AGTTGATGACACTTAAAGAAGGGTTAGAACACCTATCCAAGAAATCAAACACAAGAGAAGAGACTTTTATTCCTATTTTCCTTTCTCTTGTAAATAGTTATGTTTTTTATGAGCTTAATCTAGTAAACACCTAACTTGTAAGTGTTTTCTTGTTTACATTTATTTTCCTTTTGTAAAAGGGTTTGGTTATAGTTTAGCCAAGTGAAAAACTAGGGAGTTGTAAATGTTATCTCTTTATCCTTGGAAAAAAAAGAATAAATTAGTGAATTTATTGGGAAATCCTTAGTGAGGAGCTAAGATATTGGATGTAGACTTAGTTGAGAAGTCGACCCACTATAAATCATTATGCAAATTTCCTTATCTTTTTACTCCTTACTTCTTAAACTTTAAATTGTCAATTCACTCCATCTTGACACATTTTCGGTTGTCAATTTGAGCTTCATAAATCCTAACAAGAAACAATAACGTCGTCCCACTGTTAATGATTTAAAGTTTCAGTGACAAAAAATATTATAAAAAGTTTAGTGTTACAATTGAAGTGTTTCAAAATTTAGTGATCAAATCGATACACAAACTAAAACTCAATAACAAATAGGATAGCTTACCCTAAATATTATAAATATATTTGTATTTGATACCTCTATTGTCGTAATGATTTTGAGACTATTAGACTTGTTGACGAAATAAATATAGATTAAAAATAGTTATCAATCATTTTTGGTGTGATTGAACTAACTATCATATAAAATATTCTTATTTAACCAAAACAACAATCTTGAATAAATAAGAATATTATTTAGTCTAGGAGAATCAAAACTAAATTTGAGGACATAATTATGTGTAGAAAAGGGTTAATATCCTCGCAATGCTTGTAAAATGACACTGACTTGATCAAGAATTATTTTTTGTCTCAATACAAATACGTAATTACTATATTTTAGACTGGTATGAATTTATCAAAATTTAAGAATAATATCAAATTAGATATAGTGATTCTATTGGCATCGACATTAGATAATGAAAGCAATAATAATGAAAAGCAGGTGTTGTGAAATGTTGATTTGGTAGGGAATAGTTGAAAACAATACCATGTCGTCGTTGATTGTCCGTGCTTAAAATGTAAAGTCAATTAATCAACCTGGAAATTAGGTGCTTGCAACCGAGGCTATAATAATTGGTTAATATTAGATGAAATGGAGTATATTATCGGTATATTCGCATAATGAGATCAAATATATCTAAAAATTTAGTTTTTTTTAAAATAATTATACCATGAAGATCAAAATAACTATTTTGATAAACGTTGGGACTATTTTTTGGTATCATGCTAAAAATTAATTAAACAACTCAAAATATTAAATGATACCAAATAAAGACCATTATCAGCATAAAAGATAAGTCTCATTAATATTAACATAAAAGATAAGTCTCATTATCACCAGGGAAGATTAACATGATAACAAATAAGTGTCATCTTAATCAGTTGTGGTGATGTCAAATCAAACCATGAGAAAAAAGCTAAACGAAAGCAACGACAAAAAAATCGAAAACTACCAAAAGACAGAGATAAACGTGACACAAATACAAAGATAAACGTGTTACAAAAGTAAAATTATTCTTATTAAAAAAACTAGAAAAGAAAAAAAAAAGACAACCGACGGTTGGTAACTAATAACAAACTGGTACCTTCGTCGATTAAACAAAATCAAAAAATAAAAAGTTTATTCGGTTAATAAAAAACAACATAAATTGTAAAAAAAACACACTCCTTGCTAGTACCCCACAGCACCCAAAATCAGTACCTAGGCGATTATCGTCATCTGAATTTTGAAATTGGAAAATTTGAATATATATTTGAATTATGATCGTATTAGAAATTTTTTTTGAAAAATGTATTACTTCGTACGGACCATCTTCAAAAACACACTCCTTGCTAGTTAAGGCATGTTTTTATGGATTTTCCATACCAAATATCATTACCATGTTTTTCTTAAATTATATATATATATAAGAGTGAATGAAATGAAACAAAAAAATCATTGGAGTAAAAAAAAATGTTATTTTGCGTGGTTAATTCTTGAAAACACATTCATTGTTAGTTAAGGTGCGTTTTAACATAAATTTATCATACAAGATAATATTCATTTAATTTTTTTAGGGAGAACACACATGTTTGATATGTCTAAAATATAAATCCACTTTTTGTTCTCTAATGACATAAATGAGGGACTAACATGAATATTTTGCGAGTTTACGGCCAGAATTTAAAGCGTGAGACAAACAAAAAAATGATATAAACAAGGCTTAAAATATAAATAATAAAAAACTCAGGTGCTGGAAATAAATGAACAACGACCAATATTGGTGGCTAAAATAAAATGAAGTGCAAAGTAAGATGCATAAAATGAGAACACAGAAAAAATAATTGTTGGAATTTCAAAGGACTAAAATAACATGCAGGAATTAAAGGGACATAAAAATAAAATACTAAATAAAGTGATGGAATAAAAATAATAAAAACAAAAATATTAAATTACATAAATTTAAAAGTTAGGGGTCATTTTAATTAACATCTTAATCTGGACCATAAATAATGCAGATCATACCACGGGACGAATCATCGCAAGGTCATTGAATATTTGAATGTTAGGGAATTAGCGGGTTAGTTTGAGCAATAAAATAAAATGTTAGTGAGTTAGTATGAACAATAAAATAAAAGTTAGAATGTTAGTATGAACAAATAAATAAAAGTTAGCAAAGTTAGAAATTAGTAGTTAGAATTTTACCCGAGCCATAATAATGTGCATCGTACCCCAAGGCGGGTCACCATAAAGCCGTATTAACGTTTGAATATTAATAATATTAAAACAGTAACCAAAATGCAATAAAGTAGAAACTAGTGTCAATATTAAAATAACATAACAGAAAATAAATGTGACCAAAATAAAAAATGAAACAAAACAGAGTGCCAGATTAGAAAATAACAATAATTAAAAAGGAGGGACTAAAGCGTAAAAAAACTCTAGAATATCAGGGACCTAAGGAGGATTTTCCACATATCTTGAAATTAGGAGTAGGGATCAAAACATAAAAACATGATGAACTTTAGAGGCTCAGAATGTGATTTAACAAAAACAATCAGTAAACCATAAAGCAAATAGGCGGGAAAACTAAGGGGACTTAAGGAGAGAAAACCCAAAAACAGTTCGTACATATATTACATTTTGCCGTTTTTGTGTTAAAAATTAATTAAAAGCCATTTTTATATCGATCTTAAATTGATCTTAAATTACGATTTAACATATATGTTGTTTTTGGGTCAATTCAACAGACATCCTCACATTATGATTTAGATTTTAAATTGATCATAAATTTTAAAATATTCTATTAAATCCTAAAAGTATCAATATAGTACCAGTCAAAAGTTCTACCATCAACTCAGTGATTAACTTAAGTGTAAATCATCTACTCCAATATGATTATCACATTTTGTTTTTGATTAAAACCCATTTAAAATACGTGTGCCTATTGTATAAGAGAGCATTGGTCAATTAGTTAAAGCGCAAATTTTACTTTGTCACTCCAAAATATGAATTATTCGATTTAAGTTATTTGAGCCCTTTAGCTAAATGGAAACTTTTCATTTTTGGTCCCTTAAAAAATATTTATTTAATATAACCCTTTTTAAAAAATAAATGTCTAGCTTTGACAACTCAAAAAAATATATCACTTTATTGCGACCCTACAAAAAAATTCTTGTTTTGTCGTTACAATTATGGTTGGTTCGGATCCAGGGTAGATGCACTAAGCCTCTTAGGAATCAAGTGCATCCTTGTTATTTTTTAAAAATGATTAAATTTCATATGATGTAAAAAAAATAAAGAATTTGCATATTCATTAATTTTAAAAAAAGAATATTTAATTTTTAGACATGATTCTTAAATTTTTAGATCTTTCATTGGTTCCAATTTCATGTATAAAAAACGAAGCAGTAAAACATTTTCACCTAACTTTGATTGATATCAGTTTTTAAACACGTCAAATCAAATGATTCATGCGATATATACACGAATGGTTACGATTTGACCGACAAATTAATATAATATTTTGAATACTCAATTATTTGTTTCAAAATTTAGAGAAAATATGCATATGAATGATGATTTGTGGGACATTTATTGTTATTAATCCATTTCCCTTTATTTTTTTAATGGTAATTGGATTTTATTAATAAAAAAAGAATTGCAATGCTTTTAGATATAGAGAAACAATTAGAAATAATAGTCTCTAAAAACTCATACAAAAATAAAAATATTAAATTCAAATATACGAAGAAAAATAAAATATTTCATTGATAATAACCAACAACATTAAAAGAATCCAGTAACCTTCATAAAAATTCATTGTATTTGTCGAATGAGACACTTTACGAAGTGATAAAGGAGTGGTGAGCGAACCAAATTAGTTGGCAGGTGCTTCGCTACACAATTCTGATTGTATCGACAAACAACCTTTTATCAAAGAGAAAATCTAACTATTGTGCTATTGCTTTTGTGCAAGCACCGACCACAAACGTATGGAAAAAATATACGAAAAGCCATGTGGATCGTGCCACAAGAGCAGATAAAATACGTTCCACAAGAACATAGAAAAGCATGTCATAAGGATAAATTTTTTTTATTCAAAATAAGAAAAAAAAATCGAAAAATCGAAAATAAATAATATAGTATTAAAAAAAATTAATAATTATTGATAGTCGACAATCAATATTAAAATTGGTGTGTAGTTGGTTAAACAAAAACTAAAGGGAGAAAAGAAAGTAACGCATAAAAGTTGAAGAAAAAATTAGATTAAGAAGAGGGAGAGTGGTGACGGTGATTTTTTATATATATTTTTTATTAATAACTTTTTTTTTACATCAACAACATAATACAAGTTTATTATGACCTAAAATTCACGAGATCATTAAGTAAAAAGAAAGAGCTACTTTAGAAAAAAAAATAATATTTAAAAAGCCAAAGCAAGAAGTGACAAACGAAGATGATGATGGCAACATCAACATGGGAAAACGTTATAGAAGGAAGGTTACAGAACTAGCGGAAAAATAGTAAAAACCGCTCTTTATGGGGAAGGCAACGACCACCACCAGAACTCCTCCATTCTGCCAATCAAAATTCCTCTGTCTCTCCCTTCTGTATCTCTTCACCGCTCTGTTCCTTGCATTTTACCACAAAGTCTCCCCAAACAATTGCCTCTTTCGGTCCTCACCGTTCGATCCGATTCAATCTCCACTCTTCCATTACCCACCTTCCTATGGAGAACACAAATATGCCATCACCACCCACCGCAATTCTTGTTCCTCCCCCGTTATGTTCTCCGGTACGATGCCTTTTTCTCAGCTCTTTTTTAATGGATTTTTTGGTTCAATTTTCGATTGATTGTCGTTTCAGTGATTTTGGGAGTAAAGGGTGTTTGATTCTGTGATCAGGTTATCGAGAAGTGGCGGAGGAGATTCATAATTTGTGCAAGAATTCTTCTGCATTTGTGCCGGATTTGAAGTATTTGCAGGGGAAACTTGACACTTTTGGAGGAAATTTCAGTTTCAAGGAGAGGATTTCTTATTTTAATGATACCAAGAATGATATCAACGTCCCTTGTGGATTTTTAAAGGAGTTTCCAGTTGGTGATTCTGGTTAGTTTCTTCATCTGAATTCTCTGAGAATTTACAATTTAGTTTCATCTTCTACCATTTCATTTATTTTAAAAACGAACATAAGATTTTATGTTAGGGTACGAATTTAAAAATCTATATTAAAATTTTAAAGATATGAAATTATAAAATTTAAGCTACACGAAATTATATTATAAATAAAAATTCAAAAAATATATAAATTATATGATAATTTAAAATTCTCAGAGTGTGATTAAACTCTTCGTGCCACTCACTAAGAATATTGGTTGCCCCATCTTGAAACCGGAATCGAAATTGAATGTAAAGTTGAATTGAATGAAACTCCATCCCCTGGAATCGGTTTAGTTCATCGATTTTTTGAATGATTTTTTAAATAATTTTTAACATTATTTTCAATAATTCTCGAAATCAATGTTGTGGTTGATTTCTTCTATTAACTTATTTGCTTGTGATGTGGTTCAGATCGAATTGCCATGGAAAGCTGCAATGGAGTTGTTGTAGCATCCGCAATCTTCAATGATCATGACAAAATCCGGCAACCTGTAGGTCTCGGGTCGAAAACCCTTGAGATTACTTGTTTCTTCGTGTTTATAGATGATATAACCCTTCAAGGACTTTATTATCATAAACTAATCCCGCAAAGCTCGCCTGATTATAAAGTCGGAGTTTGGAGAATTGTCAAAGTGTTTTCCGATGAACTATACGGAAACCCTGCGATGAACGGGGTGATACCGAAATACTTGGTTCATAGACTTTTCCCGAACTCAAAATTCAGCATCTGGATCGATGCGAAGCTTCAACTAACAGTCGATCCGTTGTTATTGATACACTCTCTTGTTGTATCAAAGAACGCGGATATGGCAATATCGAAGCATCCGTACTATGTCCATACAATGGAAGAGGCGATGGCGACGGCACGGTGGAGGAAATGGTCCGATATCGACAGCTTGACGAGGCAAATGGAAACTTACTGTGAAAATGGATTGCAGCCATGGACTATTCACAAGCACCCTTATACCACAGGTAATTTTTTTTAATTATGAATACTTTTGCTTGCATTGCATGAATTAAGAGACAATTTTAGCCAACTTTGAGTACACAAGCTGTGCTGTATGAATATTATATAATATTTTGATTAGGTCTAGTTTTAGTACCCTACAAAAATCCATTATTTTAATTTAGACCAAAGTCATAAATTCCATGAATTAATATACAATTCCCTTTGTTAAATGTGTTAGGACTATGATCATTAGAAATGAAAATTAATATTACTATAAGGTTCATTTTGATTGGTTTCTACCCACTGTATCATGTGCTTCGAGAAGCAAAGCATGGCTACTTTGCGTAGCTGTGAAGTTCCTTGAAAGCAAATACACAATCTTATTGGGATTAGTTCTTTCTTCTTATATTTCTACTCACATTATTTTTAACCTAACGTGACGGCTACAACATCAAGTCATTGTTGAAAGATATGTAGGGATTTGATAGATAACCCCATTGTAACCACCAAAAAAATGTGCAATAGAGACGTCTTACCCGAATATTTATTAATGGGGTCCTAAATCCTAATAAGTAGGACAGATCTATTGGGGGGGCCACGAAATGTTAAATTTTGTATCTAATGGAGCAGTAATTTTAACCTTTATTAATTTCAATATTTATAGATTAATTATTATTTTTTTTGTTGCCCTCTCGATTTTAAGGTTTCACTTTGATTAATCCGGGCCGACTCACATCGCACACCTGTCTTTGGTGGGTGAGTCTCTCAGTAGGGATTTTCTGCATACAATGACTCGAACTTAAGACCTTACTCAAACTGCTTACCATTTGAACCAACTCATGTTGGTAGAATTAATTTTTTTAAAAAATATTTAAATTAAATATTTAATAGTTGATTTAATGTATTAAATTAATTGATTGATTTTTAAAAGTTTAAATTTTATATCATGTTAATTTAAATTGTATAATGTATTTATTATATATTTAAAATAAAATAAAAACATAATTATTATTTTATATGTTGACGATAGAAAAAAATATTTCATAAGTATGTATATTTAGATGTCATCTAACATACATAAGAACGATATATTTTAATTTTTATTCATAAATTTTAAACCTTAAATCTTAATGGTAAATCTCATAACCCTAAACAAAACACATAACATTATTAAACTGTTCATAATTTTTTTAATACTATTACATGAGATGATTTTATTCGGTTAAATTCATAAATTTAATTATAAATTTCATAAACAAACAATTGCCAGATTAAGCTATTTTAACCAAGTTCTAAATTGATTTAGTCGAGTTTACACAAATAAAATCCCAGTCTTTTGTGAATATCTGTATCATATTATATAATCATGACTCAACCCTAATTCCTAAATATGTTTGTGTTTGATTTGCAGATGTACCAGATAGTGCATTGATCTTGAGAGAACATGGACTGAGAAGCAATCTCTTCTCGTGCCTTTTGTTCAACGAGTTGGAAGCTTTTAACCCGAGGGACCAACTGGGTTTTGCATTCGTGAGAGACAAGATGAACCCTAAGCTAATACTCAACATGTTTGAAGTGGAAGTGTTCGAGAAGATTGTTGTGGAATATAGGCACAACCTTAAAAAGATTGGAGACAATAGGGCTGGTTCGGTACGCGTCGGACCCAAAAGGACCAAAAGGGCTAGCCATGGACACTTCTTTTTGAATGAAAGCAGGTGTCAGAACTATCTTTTGACTATGTGGGGTGAATCCCACAGTTGATTTTATTTGATTCTCTTTAGTTTAAGTGTCTTACCAAATTGGAGGAGAATGTAGCGCAGAAGTGCCAAATCAATAATTATTAAAGTTATATATAGAGAAAAATATATAAATAATTATTTTTGTTTTAAATACAGATTGTTTGGGTTCATCGCACAACGTTCTCCAACTATTGTTCAAGTTTAAAATTAAATTTTAGAATTTTATAACATTTTAATTTAATTTTTAAGATTTTAATATTATCTCAATTATTTTTATGTTATTTAATCATTAATTTAAACATTAAATATTGTTTTTTTATTAATTTGGGGTCAGTACAAGACATTATATGTTCAAATATAAACTCTCAACCTTTTGACATTGAACGCTTAAACCCCTGACATTTATGGTGATTAAACCCGAGTCCTCAAGAGATAATAACACTTCCTTTATCACGAGCCCACTTGGTTTGTGCTTAAATGTTGATTCATCATTATTACAAATTGGAAGTTTCGTTAGCACTTAAAATAGAAATGAATAAAATTTGACTAAAAAATAAAATTTTTAACTTAAAAGTTGAAAGACTCGAATAGACTTTAATTAAAAATTTTAAAATTTAAGTTTAATTATAAAATAGTCGTTCTCCCCGATTAGTGTGGGAAAAAAATAAAGATAAAGAGGAAAGAATCTAACCAGCCTAACGACATATCACAGAGAAAAGCTGACAAAAAGCACAGGTTGGCAGGGTATCATTTACGAAATTTCGGCGGCGCAGTTGTATTATTCTCTTCGAAGTTCTCCATTAATTCACCGAAGCTATTAAAATAAAGAGCAAATAATGCATGTTGCTTTCTTAGAAGCGGTTATTTTTGGCGAACAACATCCTTCGGACAGCCCACCGAACGACTTGCCCTTGGCATTCCTACAAGCCCATTGGAGCTCCTAATCCCAACACAAAACTGGTCTAGATAAACCACAAGCATACAAAACCCATTTCCGAATATATCTAGAATAAGCACATTAAAAAAAAAAGATGACGACGACTCTCAAGCTCATTCAAACACAGCACACAAGTCCCCTCTATGTTGAATCCAAATGAAATGAGAGGACTTCTCGTTGGCAGCGTATCCAAAACCGCCATCAAGCGATGACAGAATTTCTCGGAATATGACCTGAATACCACACCAGTCCATTTAAAGAGACAAGAGTGTTATCTCCACGCACACGAATGACATTCCAAATGCTGGAAATCGAAGCTGAAGCATCAACCATGAGGCTTAAGTTCGAGGCAGCCTTAGTCCGTAATTACAACAAACTCGAGCACACCCATCTCCCTCCAGATGATTTAGAAACTTGTCAAAAAGAACAACCCTGCAACACATATCAAACCATCATTAAGAAGAATACTCCTAATCAAAGGTAAAAGACAAACCTAATATTTTATACTAATATATATTCTTTTGTTATTTTATCCTTATATTTACTCAAGCAACCTAATTTTCTAAGTTATTCAAGTAATTATTTACAAGAAATTCATACTTTTAAAAATTCAAAAAATTTAGACCATAATTTATACTATCCTCACTTGAAATTGATTTATTCAATTTAGAACCTTGGCCTGCAGTGTCTTAAGTTGGGCATCTGACTCCGTTATAGTTAGTTAAGCCCATTCCCATATGAGCTGTTGGATGAACCGAAAATTAATAACAATAATACAGTGTTTTAAGTTAGTTGAGTTTAAAAAACAATCAAGTGGATTGATTTAATAATTTGTTATCCCAAATCAATTGAGTGGCCTTAACGGTTTAATACAAAAATAAGTGTTTAAATTATATATCGAAATACGATTTTATGCCTAAATAATTTTTTATTAAAATAGATTTATAACGTTTTCAACGTTATACTTTTAAGTGTCTATACCGTAACGACCATTAAATTTGACCTCATCTGACACCTGTCAGGAATACAAAATTTCAAAAATTATTTTATTTAAAATTTTAATATTATAATTAAAAAATCAAAAAACCATTTTACATGTTCCGTCGTCGATCGACCACTGATGGTTCGTAGTTGTCACCATTGACACAATCAGAACTATCTCGCCATCGTGACCAAACCTCAACCCCCACCCACCACCCACCACCCACCGTAAAACTGTGTCGATTGTCATTAAAAACGCCACAAAGGATTGTCTAATTTTTAGGTTTTTGTTTATGCTTTATGGCGATTTCGATGACTACAGTCGTTCGTACAAGACACAACCACCACTGTTGTGTTCCGCATCGTGCTACGAACAAAACTCGATTGATAGTGATCGTTCGTCATCGAAGGTGGGGCGACGGGAGGGATAGGGACGACATGGAAGAAGGGGGTCTTATTTAAAAAACCTTATTTTTTGAAAAGTTATTATTATTATTATTAGTAGTAGTAAAAAGTTAAAAGATTAAAAAATATAACGATGGACACCTAAAAGTATAACGGATAAAACGCTAGACACCTGTTTTTAACGAAAACTTTTTAGGCACCAAATTATATCTCGAGGTATAGTTTAGGCATTTATTTTGTATTAAGCCTAATGATAAAAAGGAATGTTATTTTCTTCCTTGAAAATCAAGTTTAAATAACTATATTTAAAAGATGTGTTTACAATATCAATAAATAAAAAAAATTAAAAATAATTTCATGACCATATAATATATTTAGAGGAGGGATTTTAAGGAATTCTCACATTGTTTTTTTTTTATTTCTTTCTGACCTTATTTCATTTAATGTATATAATCTCATAATAAAATAACAACTTTTACTTTAAAATAGTTTACATATCAATTTTTTTATAATTATTTTCGAACTCATACAATTTTGATAGCATGATTTATTAGGGTAAACTACAAGATTGATCAATTTCGTATAAGTTTTGTACATTTTTTCCTTATTGAATTTAAAAAATATCATATTAAGTCACTTATGTTCATTATTTAATTAAGATGTGATCATTGATGATAAATTGTCGTTAGACCTTTAACGAATTATTAATGTGGCACAACAAATTTATAAAAAATAAAAAGGTAAACTACACAAATAGTCACTAATGTTTGAGTAAGTTTTCGTTTTCTCCACTGAAGTTACAAAAGTAACAAATTGATCACTTAGGTCATTGGCCAATGATTTTATATCTAATTTACCCCCCCAAAACTTTCAAAATTTTCCTATTTATTATATAATTATTTTTATATAATAAAAAGGGGGAGAAGTATGAGTTTAAAAATTCAATTTCAAGAGAAAGAAAAACGAGGAGTTTTAATATTTTTCAAATATTTATATTTTTCATAAAATGTTTTATTAAGGGGGAGTTTTGTCAAAAATAATTTTTCAAATGTTTTGTTATATCAAAAATGGGGAGATTGTTGAACCAGTTTTATAATATTTTGATATAACAAATTAAGGCAAAAAATTTTTGGACTTGAATTGAATTTGTTCAAAGTTTTTCAAAAGTTTTCAAAAATAATTCAAATTCCACTAAAATTTAATTTGAGCACAAAATTGTTTTTTGGGTAAGTAGTATCGATAATGTTCTTACAGTATCGATACTGCATGAACAATACTAATATTGTTCACGTGGTACCGATACCAAAGGTAAGAGAAGTATTGATGCTCTCTAGGTAGTATCGATACTACCATATGTTTTACAAATAGCTAAAATTCCAGAATGCAAAATAGGTATCAATACTCAAAGGAGTATCAATACTACTTCACAAAGTAATATCGATACTAGTCAAGCCCAACGGCTCCAAATCAACTCCAACGGCTAGAAACAACCATAAACACATTCCAACATATAAAAACAAGTTGATGACACTTAAAGAAGGGTTAGAACACCTATCCAAGAAATCAAACACAAGAGAAGAGACTTTTATTCCTATTTTCCTTTCTCTTGTAAATAGTTATGTTTTTTATGAGCTTAATCTAGTAAACACCTAACTTGTAAGTGTTTTCTTGTTTACATTTATTTTCCTTTTGTAAAAGGGTTTGGTTATAGTTTAGCCAAGTGAAAAACTAGGGAGTTGTAAATGTTATCTCTTTATCCTTGGAAAAAAAAGAATAAATTAGTGAATTTATTGGGAAATCCTTAGTGAGGAGCTAAGATATTGGATGTAGACTTAGTTGAGAAGTCGACCCACTATAAATCATTATGCAAATTTCCTTATCTTTTTACTCCTTACTTCTTAAACTTTAAATTGTCAATTCACTCCATCTTGACACATTTTCGGTTGTCAATTTGAGCTTCATAAATCCTAACAAGAAACAATAACGTCGTCCCACTGTTAATGATTTAAAGTTTCAGTGACAAAAAATATTATAAAAAGTTTAGTGTTACAATTGAAGTGTTTCAAAATTTAGTGATCAAATCGATACACAAACTAAAACTCAATAACAAATAGGATAGCTTACCCTAAATATTATAAATATATTTGTATTTGATACCTCTATTGTCGTAATGATTTTGAGACTATTAGACTTGTTGACGAAATAAAATATAGATTAAAAATAGTTATCAATCATTTTTGGTGTGATTGAACTAACTATCATATAAAATATTCTTATTTAACCAAAACAACAATCTTGAATAAATAAGAATATTATTTAGTCTAGGAGAATCAAAACTAAATTTGAGGACATAATTATGTGTAGAAAAGGGTTAATATCCTCGCAATGCTTGTAAAATGACACTGACTTGATCAAGAATTATTTTTTGTCTCAATACAAATACGTAATTACTATATTTTAGACTGGTATGAATTTATCAAAATTTAAGAATAATATCAAATTAGATATAGTGATTCTATTGGCATCGACATTAGATAATGAAAGCAATAATAATGAAAAGCAGGTGTTGTGAAATGTTGATTTGGTAGGGAATAGTTGAAAACAATACCATGTCGTCGTTGATTGTCCGTGCTTAAAATGTAAAGTCAATTAATCAACCTGGAAATTAGGTGCTTGCAACCGAGGCTATAATAATTGGTTAATATTAGATGAAATGGAGTATATTATCGGTATATTCGCATAATGAGATCAAATATATCTAAAAATTTAGTTTTTTTTTTATAAATAATTATACCATGAAGATCAAAATAACTATTTTGATAAACGTTGGGACTATTTTTTGGTATCATGCTAAAAATTAATTAAACAACTCAAAATATTAAATGATACCAAATAAAGACCATTATCAGCATAAAAGATAAGTCTCATTAATATTAACATAAAAGATAAGTCTCATTATCAACAGGGAATATTAACATGATAACAAATAAGTGTCATCTTAATCAGTTGTGGTGATGTCAAATCAAACCATGAGAAAAAAGCTAAACGAAAGCAACGACAAAAAAATCGAAAACTACCAAAAGACAGAGAAAAACGTGACACAAATACAAAGATAAACGTGTTACAAAAGTAAAATTATTCTTATTAAAAAAACTAAAAAAGAAAAAAAAAGACAACCGACGGTTGGTAACTAATAACAAACTGGTACCTTCGTCGATTAAACAAAATCAAAAAATAAAAAGTTTATTCGGTTAATAGAAAACAACATAAATTGTAAAGAAAAAAAAAAGAAGAGAAAGAGTAAATGGATACACCGAGTAGACCATATAATATTTTTTTTATTAAATTAAGGTAATTATAAAATAGTATATGTATTAAATACTCTCAATCACTTGACAATGAATGCTCAATCACCATGTTGCAGCTGTTAGTGTACAAACTCATAATCTCAAGGAATAACAACGATTCATTTAACCAATAAAGTAAGTTGATTCGTACAATTATAAAACATTATTTAAAATTTAAATTTATACAATTATATAATTACAATTTGTATTACTAAACATTACACAAAGAATTACAAAATAATTATACCATATAGATCAAATATATCTAAAAAATTAGTTTTCTTAAAATTATATTTATGTAATTACAAAGGTGACAATTACACTTTTATACAACTACAATACAGTGTTTACATGCGTCCCAAATATAGTTTACATTATTGTGTAGCGTTTAGATGTGTCAATAAACAGCAACGTTTCCACTTTAACTAAATGGCTACATTGATAATACCAATGGAACCAGGTCCGAAAGTTTCGCTAGTTGAACCCAAAGGGAAAATGGCAATTGGTTTGAACACTGTCAACATAGGGTCACACGGCAGTAGACTGCCCCCGCCGAAAGACCACGCTTCACGGAATCTAAACTCCATTATTAATCATGGTGGCAAAGTGGGAACACACTTTTTTTACGGAAAAAATAGTCATTTTTTTCAAATAAAATTGAAATAAAATATTAGTAACAGTTTATCTCGATAGTCGAAAAATTGCAAAAGACGATATAGTACTCAAATTTTCGGATAAAAGGCACCCACTGCCCTGGCTTGCTCCCATCATAAAAACAGAGCAATAATTAAAGAGAGAGAGAAAAGAAAGCAACTCCGGAGAAAGGGTGTAGGACTTTACCAATGGCTGAGAGCTGGTCGAGAAGCAAATGGGTCTTCGTTTTTGTGCTCATATTTGCTCATTCTTCTTCATCATCACTAGCTGAAGATGGTATGTACAATCACTTCCCTCCGTTTTTTGAAGTTCTAATTTGCATTGTTCGTGGATTATTCTTTCTTGGTTTGTTGCTATTGTTTGAGATCTGTTTGTTACTCTAGCTGCAGTAGCTTTATGAATCGTGTTTCAGTTGATTTTAGCTAATAGATTGAGTTCTTCCATTGGGGAGGTCATTTCTTCAAGGAGTAATTAATAAACTCACGGTTTTAAAACTTAGGTTCCCACGTTTTAAAGCCCATTTATTTCAGTAACGATTCTTTGTTCATTCAGTTCCCAGCAAATGCCTTCTTCTTCCTTTGCTTGTCCCCCCAGCAGATTCGATGATTCCTTTTTGTTTCCCCCCGGATAAATCCATTAAATCACTCCCATTTTACTGGAATATGTTTTAAGAGTGAGCTTTCGATAGTGTCCAAGCTAGAAATTTTTGTATTAAAATAAATTAAGTATCCTTAGTCTTAAAAAGTGTAAACTACATATTTAGTACCTTAACTTTTATTTTTTTCCGTTTTGGTCATTTAATTATTTTTTTTCAAAATTATATGGTTATATTTTGGTCGCCCCTATTAAAAAATTTCCGGTGATTCTAACGTATCATCATAATGTAATGACACGGTATCATTGTATTTTTTTGAAAAAATATCACATCAATATATCTATATATTTTTTAACAGTGGTCGAATAAAATGAAACTAGAATATAGTATTAGGTATAGTTCACCTTTTAAAAATGATGTGAGAAAATGTTATGATGAAATATTTTTGGATTAATTTCAAATAGACTTAGAATATAGCCATCGATCCTCGGATTGCCTGTCCCACCATAATTGAGTGTTTGTTGAAGATCAGCTCTCACATTTAGTATGCAAAACTGTACGAATGTTATTGCTCTAAATGCTTATTAATTAGTTAAAATTATTTTTAATACCAGATTCAATTATTTATTTATTTTACAAACCTAGAAAGCTTTAAATAGAAAATCTAACTCACCCATCACAATAATTCCCTCCAAGTTGAATTATTTTCAATGTCATTATCCGATTTTTTTAATGGAACGGTGAATCTTATTTGAGTTTATTTCAAAGAACGGGTTTATCTAGAAATTTAAATCGAATTGAGTAAAAGTAAACCCCCATAAATTTAGATCAAATGATGAATAGATTGATAAAATATTTGAGTCAAATTTTGATCGACAAAATATCTTATACGTGTTCATCCTTGTCATTGTGGCCTACACTACATTATTAATCACCCTACTTATTTGTGAAGAATTGATGTTTTATTGGGTTGAGTGGTAAAAAATAAGTAATATTTCTTAAAAGTAAAATTTTAACTTTAAATCTCGAAAGCAGAGGATATAATTTTAGGAGATTATTAATTTTTCGTGGAAATATATCGTTAATTACTTTCATCTTACATATGGGTGAACTAGAGATTTTCACAAAGTGGTTGAATGATTTACGAGTATGTTTTGATTATACCAAGGTGCGGGAAAATGCAACTTTAATATACACCTAATGAAAATCATTAATGGTTTTGGTGTTATTTTTTAACGAAATTGGTAAAAAATTATAGTAAACATTATTATTTTTATCGATTTTGTTATTATTAGGTATTTTATCAGTTTTGTTATCATGTCCGAGAAAATTTTATCGGTTTTGTTATTATTAAGTATTTTATTAAAAATATTAAAAAATATTAATATTTTAGATTGAAATAATTATTTTTTAATAATTTTTTTATCGATTTTATTAAAAAAATAATAACAAAATCGATAATATTTTTATTTATAAATTAAGTTTTTGTATCCAGCAAGGTACAGGTATTGAATTTGTAAACTTTGCAGTGTGAAATGATGACAGACCAGGAGAAGTACCCGAAATATATATATATATATATATATATATAAGCATAGGAAACAGTGTGAGTGGAAAATTGGTAAAGTTCGAATAATAGTGAGAATTTTTGACAAATGGGTCCTTCATGTTGCCCTTTCCCCCTCATTTCGGGGTAAGTGAAATAACCAAACTGGTCATATTCCCGCCAAAAATATCATCCTCTTCCCGTTAATTTAACCAACGAGTAGGGTTTGTTTCTCTAATTCCGTGTTTTCAGGACACTGTCCCAGATAAGCTCACAGTTGTCCCACAAAAGTCTAATGTATTACTTACAAACACCGAGAATCATAGTAGTTATTAAGTATTTCTTAAAAAAATGAATTTTATATGATAAAAAAATCCATACTATTATGTACTAGGAATTTAGAGAAAAAGGTGCACACATATCTACTATATTTTTTTTTATCTTATTACCTTTAGTCAAAGTAGGTATGACTATAGAAATATGGGATGAAGCGGTGGTGTAGGACCCACACGTTGAACAAACTTGGGTGGGTCCGGTCCACGTCCCTTTTAGTGTGCTATCGAATCAAAATCTTAAATTATTTTTGTCCTTATCTGGATATTGGATTGATGTCCCTGTCTATGCAAGTGGCCGTATTAGGGTTTATCCTCTTCATTCATTATTTTGGCTTGAGATAGAGATGGATCGAGTTGTATTTATAAAATTTTTAAACTTTTATAGTATTTTTAAATATTTTATATTAATAATTTAATTTTTCATTTTAAATTTTTTAAATTTTCGAATAATACATGTTTTTTTTTAAAATATTGCATTCCTTACGTTGTAATTTCCTTGATTTGATTATGATATGAGACTCTTCTACACATTAAGGCTAGTAACTTGAATAGCATTATCCAAAGTAATTGTTGTCAATTCATTTATTGTCTGATAGTGGGATTGACCTGTGAATCAACCGATGACGATTAGAGAGATCCGCGCATGTGTTTTACTTAATCGTCAAATTATCTTGCCGTCATCCGTATGCGCACGTGTACGGATATGCAAGCTTGCCTTTGTGATGATTCATGGAAGCCAAAAATAAATGGTAAATTATTTTGTAGGGCTGGTTGCCAACGGTGATTTTGAAACGCGACCATCGAACGGCTTCCCTAGCGATTCAATATCCGACGGCCCCACCGAGATCCCCAGCTGGAGTACGAAGGGCATGGTGGAGCTGGTATCGGCCGGCGAGAAAGTGAGCGGCGGGGTGTTACTCATCGTGCCCCGTGGCACGCACGCCGTTCGATTGGGAAACGACGCGGAGATCAGCCAGGAAGTGCAGGTGGAGAAAGGATCGACGTACGCGATCACGTTCAGCGCGGCACGCACCTGCGCGCAGTTGGAGTCGCTGAACGTGTCCGTGCCGCCCGCATCGCGGACAGTGGACCTGCAGACGTTGTACAACGTGCAGGGGTGGGACCCGTACTCGATTTCTTTCGAGGCTGAGGAGGACAAAGCGCGGCTGGTTTTTAGGAATCCGGGCATGGAAGATGACCCGGAATGCGGGCCCATCATCGATGATATCGCCATCAAGAAACTCGTCACCCCCGATACGCCCAAGGGTAAGTGAAACTACAAATCCCTGTATTTTTTTCTCTTGCTTTTGCTTTTTCATCCACTTTATGTGCTTTATGCATGCGTGATTTCGGTGTGTGGGGTTCCACCGAAGGTGTTAAAAGCTCGTTTAGTTGCAGTATCAGTGCCGCAGTACCGGAAAAAATAAGATCCTGCGATTAGTGCAGGAAGAATTATAGTTACGGGTCGGTTGAATTATTAACTTTTAGGAGGGCCAGAGTGTCTAATTTTGGAAAGGACTTAACAGAAATTATATAATTATTCGGAAGGACAACTGGACAAGGCCCTTGGATAAGTGAACCATATAGTCATTCATAGGCAACATCAAATCTTGAATTCATTTTAGTAATTTATAGTGATTATAATTTGAATTTATTAATGATTTTCTTAATTTATTAATAACATATACGCATTCCGCTAATGTTGCTGTTCAAAATCATGGCTTTTAAAGGTTTAATATTTTTTTTATCATTGAAAAGGATGGTCAAATCACGGTTTGGGTCTTATTGTTTTATCATTGTATTTTAATTCGACATAATATGACCCGTTAATTTTTTATTATTAGTTGGTCTCATTAGTTAATATTTCTTTATTCTTTAAAATACTGTTGTCAACTAAAAAATTATGTTAGCATAATAAGTTAAAAGGTTTTTTTTAAAAGAAATCTAGGTTAGTTTGTTAATATATTAGTTAGCGGTGTTAATTATTTGAATTAATTAATGATATTGTAAAAGAAAAAAAATCAAATTATGTGAAATTAGAATATAAGGACAAAATTCCGAATTTGATCAACAAAACTGTAATTGACCAAAGATGGTTGATCCCGTCTAAAATTTATTTTAGTGGGGTTTGCTGGCTATTTTTCTTCGCTCACGATGTTGATCGAGTTCACTTTGCTGCTATGTTTTCTTCAGACAATGCAGTTGTTAACGCTGGCTTTGAGTTCGGTCCTTGGATGTTTCAAAACGTATCTCTTGGTGTCCTGCTACCGACCAACCTCGACGAAGAGACATCCCCGCTACCTGGATGGATGGTCGAATCGAACAGAGCGGTTCGATACATTGACTCCAATCACTATGCGGTTCCAGAAGGAAAACGTGCCGTCGAGTTAGTATCGGGCAAGGAAGGCATCATTTCCCAAATGGTCGAAACCACACCAAACAAGCTATATAGCTTGACCTTTTCTTTAGGCCATGCTAGGGATAAATGCAAGGAACCACTAGCAGTCATGGCCTTTGCAGGAGATCAGGCACAAAGTTTTCACTACACCCCGGATTCCAACTCCACCTTTCAAGTCGCCAATGTCAACTTCACAGCCAAGGCCGAGAGGACCCGGATCGCATTCTACAGCGTGTATTACAATACCCGACAAAACTAGAAAAAAAAAGATAAACCATGAGATAAGTCTCATTATCACAAGGGAAGATTAACATGATAACAAATAAGTCTCATTATCACCAGGGAAGATTAACATGATAACAAATAAGTGTCATCTTAATCAGTTGTGGTGATGTCAAATCAAACCATGAGAAAAAAGCTAAACGAAAGCAACGACAAAAAAATCGAAAACTACCAAAAGACAGAGATAAACGTGACACAAATACAAAGATAAACGTGTTACAAAAGTAAAATTATTCTTATTAAAAAAACTAGAAAAGAAAAAAAAAAGACAACCGACGGTTGGTAACTAATAACAAACTGGTACCTTCGTCGATTAAACAAAATCAAAAAATAAAAAGTTTATTCGGTTAATAAAAAACAACATAAATTGTAAAAAAAACACACTCCTTGCTAGTATCCCACAGCACCCAAAATCAGTACCTAGGCGATTATCGTCATCTGAATTTTGAAATTGGAAAATTTGAATATATATTTGAATTATGATCGTATTAGAAATTTTTTTTGAAAAATGTATTACTTCGTACGGACCATCTTCAAAAACACACTCCTTGCTAGTTAAGGCATGTTTTTATGGATTTTCCATACCAAATATCATTACCATGTTTTCTTAAATTATATATATATATAAGAGTGAATGAAATGAAACAAAAAAATCATTGGAGTAAAAAAAAATGTTATTTTGCGTGGTTAATTCTTGAAAACACATTCATTGTTAGTTAAGGTGCGTTTTAACATAAATTTATCATACAAGATAATATTCATTTAATTTTTTTAGGGAGAACACACATGTTTGATATGTCTAAAATATAAATCCACTTTTTGTTCTCTAATGACATAAATGAGGGACTAACATGAATATTTTGCGAGTTTACGGCCAGAATTTAAAGCGTGAGACAAACAAAAAAATGATATAAACAAGGCTTAAAATATAAATAATAAAAAACTCAGGTGCTGGAAATAAATGAACAACGACCAATATTGGTGGCTAAAATAAAATGAAGTGCAAAGTAAGATGCATAAAATGAGAACACAGAAAAAATAATTGTTGGAATTTCAAAGGACTAAAATAACATGCAGGAATTAAAGGGACATAAAAATAAAATACTAAATAAAGTGATGGAATAAAAATAATAAAAACAAAAATATTAAATTACATAAATTTAAAAGTTAGGGGTCATTTTAATTAACATCTTAATCTGGACCATAAATAATGCAGATCATACCCCGGGACGAATCATCGCAAGGTCATTGAATATTTGAATGTTAGGGAATTAGCGGGTTAGTTTGAGCAATAAAATAAAATGTTAGTGAGTTAGTATGAACAATAAAATAAAAGTTAGAATGTTAGTATGAACAAATAAATAAAAGTTAGCAAAGTTAGCGGTTAAAAAAATAGCAAAGTTAGAAATTAGTAGTTAGAATTTTACCCGAGCCATAATAATGTGCATCGTACCCCAAGGCGGGTCACCATAAAGCCGTATTAACGTTTGAATATTAATAATAGTAAAACAGTAACCAAAATGCAATAAAGCAGAAACTAGTGTCAATATTAAAATAACATAACAGAAAATAAATGTGACCAAAATAAAAAATGAAACAAAACAGAGTGCCAGATTAGAAAATAACAATAATTAAAAAGGAGGGACTAAAGCGTAAAAAAACTCTAGAATATCAGGGACCTAAGGAGGATTTTCCACATATCTTGAAATTAGGAGTAGGGATCAAAACATAAAAACATGATGAACTTTAGAGGCTCAGAATGTGATTTAACAAAAACAATCAGTAAACCATAAAGCAAATAGGCGGGAAAACTAAGGGGACTTAAGGAGAGAAAACCCAAAAACAGTTCGTACATATATTACATTTTGCCGTTTTTGTGTTAAAAATTAATTAAAAGCCATTTTTATATCGATCTTAAATTGATCTTAAATTACGATTTAACATATATGTTGTTTTTGGGTCAATTCAACAGACATCCTCACATTATGATTTAGATTTTAAATTGATCATAAATTTTAAAATATTCTATTAAATCCTAAAAGTATCAATATAGTACCAGTCAAAAGTTCTACCATCAACTCAGTGATTAACTTAAGTGTAAATCATCTACTCCAATATGATTATCACATTTTGTTTTTGATTAAAACCCATTTAAAATACGTGTGCCTATTGTATAAGAGAGCATTGGTCAATTAGTTAAAGCGCAAATTTTACTTTGTCACTCCAAAATATGAATTATTCGATTTAAGTTATTTGAACCCTTTAGCTAAATGGAAACTTTTCATTTTTGGTCCCTTAAAAAATATTTATTTAATATAACCCTTTTTAAAAAAATAAATGTCTAGCTTTGACAACTCAAAAAAATATATCACTTTATTGCGACCCCTACAAAAAAAATTCTTGTTTTGTCGTTACAATTATGGTTGGTTCGGATCCAGGGTAGATGCACTAAGCCTCTTAGGAATCAAGTGCATCCTTATTATTTTTTAAAAATGATTAAATTTCATATGATGTGGTAAAAAAAATAAAGAATTTGCATATTCATTAATTTTAAAAAAAGAATATTTAATTTTTAGACATGATTCTTAAATTTTTAGATCTTTCATTGGTTCCAATTTCATGTATAAAAAACGAAGCAGTAAAACATTTTCACCTAACTTTTGATTGATATCAGTTTTTAAGCACGTCAAATCAAATGATTCATGCGATATATACACGAATGGTTACGATTTGACCGACAAATTAATATAATATTTTGAATACTCAATTATATTGTTTCAAAATTTAGAGAAAATTTATGAATATGAATGATGATTTGTGGGACATTTATTGTAATTAATCCCTTTCCCCTTATTTTTTTTAATGGTAACTGGATTTTATTAATAAAAAAAGAATTGCAATGCTTTTAGATATAGAGAAACAATTAGAAATAATAGTCTCTAAAAACTCATACAAAAATAAAAATATTAAATTCAAATATACGAAGAAAAATAAAATATTTCATTGATAATAACCAACAACATTAAAAGAATCCAGTAACCTTCATAAAAATTCATTGTATTTGTCGAATGAGACACTTTACGAAGTGATAAAGGAGTGGTGAGCGAACCAAATTAGTTGGCAGGTGCTTCGCTACACAATTCTGATTGTATCGACAAACAACCTTTTATCAAAGAGAAAATCTAACTATTGTGCTATTGCTTTTGTGCAAGCACCGACCACAAACGTATGGAAAAAATATACGAAAAGCCATGTGGATCGTGCCACAAGAGCAGATAAAATACGTTCCACAAGAACATAGAAAAGCATGTCATAAGGATAAATTTTTTTTATTCAAAAATAAGAAAAAAAAATCGAAAAATCGAAAATAAATAATATAGTATTAAAAAAAATTAATAATTATTGATAGTCGACAATCAATATTAAAATTGGTGTGTAGTTGGTTAAACAAAAACTAAAGGGAGAAAAGAAAGTAACGCATAAAAGTTGAAGAAAAAATTAGATTAAGAAGAGGGAGAGTGGTGACGGTGATTTTTTATATATATTTTTTATTAATAACTTTTTTTTTACATCAACAACATAATACAAGTTTATTATGACCTAAAATTCACGAGATCATTAAGTAAAAAGAAAGAGCTACTTTAGAAAAAAAAAATAATATTTAAAAAGCCAAAGCAAGAAGTGACAAACGAAGATGATGATGGCAACATCAACATGGGAAAACGTTATAGAAGGAAGGTTACAGAACTAGCGGAAAAATAGTAAAAACCGCTCTTTATGGGGAAGGCAACGACCACCACCAGAACTCCTCCATTCTGCCAATCAAAATTCCTCTGTCTCTCCCTTCTGTATCTCTTCACCGCTCTGTTCCTTGCATTTTACCACAAAGTCTCCCCAAACAATTGCCTCTTTCGGTCCTCACCGTTCGATCCGATTCAATCTCCACTCTTCCATTACCCACCTTCCTATGGAGAACACAAATATGCCATCACCACCCACCGCAATTCTTGTTCCTCCCCCGTTATGTTCTCCGGTACGATGCCTTTTTCTCAGCTCTTTTTTAATGGATTTTTTGGTTCAATTTTCGATTGATTGTCGTTTCAGTGATTTTGGGAGTAAAGGGTGTTTGATTCTGTGATCAGGTTATCGAGAAGTGGCGGAGGAGATTCATAATTTGTGCAAGAATTCTTCTGCATTTGTGCCGGATTTGAAGTATTTGCAGGGGAAACTTGACACTTTTGGAGGAAATTTCAGTTTCAAGGAGAGGATTTCTTATTTTAATGATACCAAGAATGATATCAACGTCCCTTGTGGATTTTTAAAGGAGTTTCCAGTTGGTGATTCTGGTTAGTTTCTTCATCTGAATTCTCTGAGAATTTACAATTTAGTTTCATCTTCTACCATTTCATTTATTTTAAAAACGAACATAAGATTTTATGTTAGGGTACGAATTTAAAAATCTATATTAAAATTTTAAAGATATGAAATTATAAAATTTAAGCTACACGAAATTATATTATAAATAAAAATTCAAAAAATATATAAATTATATGATAATTTAAAATTCTCAGAGTGTGATTAAACTCTTCGTGCCACTCACTAAGAATATTGGTTGCCCCATCTTGAAACCGGAATCGAAATTGAATGTAAAGTTGAATTGAATGAAACTCCATCCCCTGGAATCGGTTTAGTTCATCGATTTTTTGAATGATTTTTTAAATAATTTTTAACATTATTTTCAATAATTCTCGAAATCAATGTTGTGGTTGATTTCTTCTATTAACTTATTTGCTTGTGATGTGGTTCAGATCGAATTGCCATGGAAAGCTGCAATGGAGTTGTTGTAGCATCCGCAATCTTCAATGATCATGACAAAATCCGGCAACCTGTAGGTCTCGGGTCGAAAACCCTTGAGATTACTTGTTTCTTCGTGTTTATAGATGATATAACCCTTCAAGGACTTTATTATCATAAACT